ACTGTTGTTGCAACCACCACCATCAGATCATTTGTGATCTGATGGCTGGGAAGCACTCTGCTGTGATTTCCGGTGGGAGGTCTCTGTTTCTTTTTCTTTCTTTTGCCTTTCTCCTGTTTTCTCAGCCCAGAAATTCGTAATGAACCTGTCAGCCCGCTGCCACTCAGTGTCACTCTGGATCGGCCACAATCCTATCCGACTGCTAATGGGACCATGCTCCAGAGGACAGGCTCTAAGAAGAATAAAGCTCTCCCTTTTTTGAAGGCTTTTCTCTTTTTCTCATGGCTACGATCCGGACGTCCGGACCGCCGTCCAGACGGTCCGGATTCAGTCCGGACTCCAGACATCCAGTCTGGAAGGTCCGGATCTGCCAAAATTCGAGGAAAAAAAAAACAAAAAAAAACGGTCCAGGACCCTTCCCCATTGAGGAGCCAAGCCCCCAAAATTGTTTTGGGGGTTTTTCAGGCCGGTTTATGCTTTTTTGGGGGGTCCGGACATGCTCTCTCTCTATAATAATTTATCAGACAACCCCAATTTTTTAATTATTAATAAATTAATAATTCATTACCTTTTATTAGTGTTTAACTTTATTAAGTCTTTTTTAAAGCTTTTTTATAGTTTTTGACTTGTAACTCAAGTTTGGTTAGGAATTCTGACATGACTCTGAGGCAAAAGTGGTTTGCATTGTTATTCTGCATAGCATACTTTTTTTCGAGATTTTTTTATTTTTATTTTTTTAATGGCCCGGACATTTCCGGACCTGTCCAGGCATCCGGACCGTCCGGATCCCCCATGTCCGGAGGTCCGGAAATGTCAGGAATTCCGGGCGTCCGGAAACTACCGGATGTCCGGAAATGTCCAGGTCCGCGTCCGGCGTAGCCATGCTTTTTCTTCACTTTTGTTGGGGGAAATACAGCAAGGCTTAGTGGTGGTCGTAGTCCTCCCTTAGAATAGCTTGATGCCAAAAATGAAATACAAATTACAAAACAAGGACTCAAGGAGTTGAGAACAAAATTGTTGGCAAGTGGTGGATGGGCTCTGTCTGACCTGTTTATTTTGACGAAAAAATCACCGCCGGTGCAGTGGAAAGCATAGGACTCATTAATGCAACCACTGAAATGAACCTCCCTTGGGCGTCGCTTGATCTCCCCACAACCAAGCTGCTGCAGGTGGGACAGAACGGCAAAATCACCAGTCTTGCTGGGACCTGGTCCTGATCTCGATCCAGGAACAGAATCCTGACCTCCAGCACTGAACTCAAACCAAGCACGTCCCTGCGTGGCAGCGCACCTGCATGGAGGAACTGCAATGTGGCCATGCTCCGACCCGCCCCACCTGCACCATTGCGGAAAAAAAAAAAAAAAAAAAAAAAAAAAAAGCCCATGACCAAAAAAAAAGGCTTAAAATGCTGGAAATGAAGTCAAAAAAAGGGTAAAATATGGTCCATAGTAACAATAACAACAACCACAAGCAAAAGATGATTACGAAAATACAAAAAGAGCAACACCAACTACAATAACAAATAAAAATAGGAAAAATAGGAAAAATAGGAAAATTAGGAAAATACCAGTCTGGCATGTTGCAGCCGTAGGTTTTTCAATAGGGCCCTACACAGGCAGAGGGGCACACACGCGCGCCCAAGAGAGACACAGAGAGAGAGAGAGAGAGGCACACACGCGCGCCCAAGAGAGACACAGAGAGAGAGAGAGAGGCACACACACACAACACACA